TGCCCACGTCATTTAGAAATTATCCATCCACTAGGGTTATAATTGATTGTACGGAGATATTCATTCAGAAACCTACCTCTCCTGCTGCACAGCGAGCCACGTGGAGTGAATATAAGAGCCATAACACTATGAAAACGTTAGTTGGAATAACTCCATCAGGATTTTTCAGTTTTGTGTCAAAATTGTGGAGTGGAAGTACAAGTGACCGCAAACTNTTGTACGAACGTAAACAGTCTTCATCGTAGCCATCTTTTCCAACAAGATAATGGTAAATATCAGGAAACCTGAAGTCTGGAATACCAGTAAAGTCATGAGTTCAATCCCTGAGCGAAAGTGGATGGGGAAGTAATTTCCCTCCTGGCAGTGTTATCTTGGAATTAATCAACTCATCGCGTTTCGTTGATTCCTCTTCAATTTTTGGAACTTTTATTTCCGCTGCATTCTTACATAGCTCCAGTAGTTCTGCTCTTCTCCTACTCTTACCGTTAATAGAAATTTGAATATCTCTTTCTCTTAAAAACTTTTGAAGCTCAGATACTTTCATATCGGCAAAGTTGGCATGGTTCGCTGCCATGCTGAGACGACTTCTATTCCCCTCAGCCTCGTCTTGGTGCTAAAAACTAATTACCAGACTTTCTCGCACTAACAATTCGAAACTAGCCTATTGCAGAGAGAACGTAAATTGCCTCTGAAAGTGACAATAGCGCTAGTGACGTCGAGAGAGCTTCTGAATTACACTGCTTGGAATCCCACGATAGTTTTGAGGATCACGAGGAACGCCTCAGTGCAGATTTATCCCTGTCCCTATCCCTTGTTCTATATTTTTTATTTACTTTTAACACAATGACATTTCTCTTCTTTTTGACAATCTAATGTGCTACATTGGCTTGGTTTTTTATTAATGAACTACGAACAGTACCGCAGAGGTTAACAGTCAGTTCAGGCAACTGTATGGCTTGCTTGTTTTTTTCTTTTTCTCACTTCAGTCTTAGATCAGATAACGCATAAAAACCAATTGATTACGACGGGCTATAGCTACGAGACACCCCATGTTAATAGGAATTACGCCACTTGCGCTTGATTAACGAAAGCTTTACGTGTTTTGCGAAATATATGGCTTATCACAACCTTTTGGTAAAATCTAAAACCGCATTAATATGTACAGATAAATTGTTGCTAGCTTCACAACAACTCTTATTTCAGTCCAGTAAGTTTAGCTTTACGCAGAATTAAACTGAACGTAAATTTGGCTCTTCAGCTTTACCATACATTTACGAGAGCTTTACGTCCGATTACGTAAATCTATCTTAAGCGTCTTTGCGAACACTATAAAACTAGCGTAAGGTTACTTAACGAACTTTACGCAGATTTACGCAACTTTAATTTGCGTAAATCTCCTTTTTCATGCTGTGAACGTTACCAAGACTGTACAGATAACTGTCGACTGCAAACTAGTGTCACTTGATGTGAAATCACTGTTTACAAGTATTCCACTTCAACTGGCATTACAATGTACTGAGACTGCAATCCGACAATCTACCGACCCACTATCGCTGCCGACAGACGACATTATGGACTTGCTCAACATTTGCCTAACGTCAACTTACTTTCAGTTCTAAAGGTAAACACTACAAACAGTTACACGGCACAGCCATGGGGTCTCCAGTTTCTGTTGTTATAGCAGAAATTGTGATGCAGAACATTGAGGAGCGCGCCCTTTCGACTTGCCGACAAACGATACCACTTTGGTAACGTTACGTTAACGACACATTCACCGCCATACGACACAACGAAATCGAAGCATTCCACCACTACCTTAACGGACAAAACACTGACATACAGTTTACCGGAGAAGTCGAAGAAAATGGGAAACTTCTTTTTCTAGACTGTCTGGTAAGCCGTACCGACAACTCACTACGGACGACAGTTTACGGGAAACCGACACACACTGACAGATTACTAGAAGAGTCATCCTACAATCCTACATCATATAAAGCCACAACTATCAGAACTCTAACAGGACCCGCGCAACTAGTATACGACTCGACAGACAGCTTATCCGACGAGGACAAATACCTTCACCGTGTTTTTTCAAAGAACAACTACAACGACGACTTCATCCGACGAAACACTCACCGACCCACTACCATTACTGAAACAAACGACACCGAAACTCCTACGACTACAGCAGCCATACCGTATATAAAAGGAATGTCTGAGAACATCTCGCGCATCTACCTTCGTATAACATCAAGAAATTGTTAGATATTCTAGTTTTCACGGATAGCGACGAATAAATGGAGGTTCCGTCTCCTACAGGGTTAGGGGTAGGAGACTTTAATTTTCCACGCACGAGATTACTGTGATGGATGTAAACCCCTAGGGGAGGGGTGGGATGGGTGGGATTTAATGGGTGGACTACTCGCATGGATCGTATATGTTCCGTTCTAGTTCTACTACAACACATATGCTGATGACTGCGAACTGCACACATCTGACGTAGACCCAGTAGCCTTGGAACAGCGGATCAATCATGATGTACAAATAGCAAACAAATGGTTCGAAGACAATGGGATGAAAGCCAACCCCGCTAAACACCAAGGGATGGTTCTTGGCAAAACCGATTACCCTTTCTCCTTCTCAACCACAAGATGCCTAACACTTTTTGGAATAATTCTTGATAATGAACTTAACTTCAAGGAACACATATCCTCTGTATGTAAAAAAATAAATAATCAGATCAGTGTCCTCAGAAGATTTGGCAAACTTATTTCTACCGAAATTATGCTTCGCCTTTATAAAACGTTTATGTTACCCCATTTTCACTACTGTTCAATGATATGGCACTTTTGTAACTCAGAGGACTCTGTTAAACTGGACACCTTAAATAGACGTATTTTAAGATTTGTTTTAAAGGACTGGGACTCGAACTACGATGATCTTTTAGACAAGGCAGGTGTGTGTGGTTTAGCCAACAGGAGGATACAAAATATGATGATTTGTATATTCAACTGTCTCCATCTTGGTAAATATCCGTGCTATCTGAAACAACTAATCAAGCTAAGATCTACTGCTTACTCCCTAAGGGGCACGAATATTTTATCACTTCCTAAGCCGTTTACAACCACATATGGTCTAAATTCTTTTAGCTATTCATCTGTTAAGTATTGGAACTCCCTCCCTGACCACTTTAGAAAAACTGTAGACTATAGCGAATTTAAGAGCAAACTGTCAGTGCACAATTTCTGTTAATATTACATTTATATCACTTATTATTATATTAACGAGATTATTATATTATTAAATTATGAATTATTTTTATCTTTTAACCTGTTCTTGCTGTAATTTTAAAGTAGCAATTAGGATCGGAGATACTAACTTATAAGCTAATCTAAAATCCGAGGATAAATAAAGTTTATGTATGTATGTATGTATGTATTTATGTATGTATGTATGTACTCTACTGCGGTAATGCAGTGAAAATGGATTAGAAAAAAATTAGAGAAAAAACACTTCAATATCCGCGTCGCCCAGAAACCCATCACCACCGACACTGTCGTTACTAACCAACGTGAAAGACAAGGACGAACCGAGGAACAGACAGGGAGCGATTTATAAGATCAATTGCTCCGACTGCCAAGCCTCCTACATCGGAGAGACTGGAAGAAACCTTGCAAAAAGACTGCCTGAACACAGACGGGCGACGAGGAAAAGTGATGTCAACAATCACATTGCTAAGCATCATCGACTTACGAACCACAATATTGACTGGGACTCTGCGCAATGCCTAACCTACAGCGTCAGTCACTACAACCGGCAACAGTCCTTCTCAGGATTACACTCACCCGGACGATCACACTACACTTTCACATGTTACCCCCGGGTTCCAACCATTTACTGCAACACTATTGTTGTAGAGTATTTTAAAAAAAATTGCTATTTTGAGTATTTTGAGTCTCGTGTTATTTTGATAATTTATAGTTTTGGTCTTTTATTTTCAATGTGTGCTTGAACTTGGCTCAGTTCTTACCGTGCAAGACATCTTAATCGCTTGTTAAGGTTGAGAATAATTAGTTTGCTAGGTGGTCATGTTTGGGTTGGTAAAGCTGACCTTGAGTTTTACCCACACTAAGATTCTGTTTTGTACGCGTGATTCTCGTGCGCAGCTCGATCATTGGTGTCTAATTGGTTCCTGGGTGCTCGCCAAGTACTTCTGAGCGAGCCACCCAGTTTCTCCCTTTGAAAAACAACGAATACACTGCGGAAACTCTCACGGTCAGCTACCCCAAACAGGTCTACAAACATTTCCTACTTAAAGCGTTGGTTCCTCACGCTAGAGCTTATAGATGGTGATGATTATTAGATGCATAGAGCGTTGCTGTAGTAGCTCTCTAGAAGAGAATAAAGAAGAAAATTACAGAATCTTGGTACCTTTCGTTAAGTCGTACAAGCGAGTGGCAAAAACCCTCAACACTATCTTGACTAAATATTTAAAGGCGATCTCTCAGAGCAAACAAAACTATGCATATAACGGTAGATTCATCCAAGCGAAGCTTTCTACTGATAAAATTTTAGTAGTTCATAACACTATTTCCCACTGTTTGATTTTTCCGGCACCATTTTAATCCTAGTATTATTATTGTCATTATTCCTATCATCAAGATTATTGTCATTATAATTATTCAACTAGAATTTTAGTTGCGTAATCTCTCGATTAAACGCCACATACCCAAGCTAAAGTCGTAAACACGAACATCTGAGTTTTTTTTTTTTAAGTTTGTAAAGTAATCATCAATGGATGATTTATTTCGATGCATATTTTATCTGTTGTCGCTGGTGTATTCGCAGATAAACAGTTCTCATTAAGTAGCAAAATTGGCGGGAGCTCGACATATGTGAATGAGACAAAATGCATTTCACTGACTGATAATGAAAGTTCATCGGTGCCAAGGGAATTTTGGGTAATTATCATCACGTACTCTTCGCCTTGTCACGGAAGAGGAAATTATTTTCACTTGAAGACTTGTGATATAGTTATAGATGCTCATATCACTTTCAGCCATCCAGCAAGTTATAGTAGCTGAAATGGAATTTGTGATCGTTTCGTACTTCATCTCATTTCTTTGTGTGATTCAGTATTCAGGTGAGTCGCGTTCTAAAAGATTTTTAACTCGCGTTTATCTCATAGTGGCGGACGTCGAGTAAAGATTGCAACAGATGAAAAAAC